ATTTTGTAAATATACTCGTGAGATTCCTGATTTAATTTTAAATATAAAAAGCAGGGAATAGAATAGCAAATATTTTTTAACAGGCAACCACTGAAGCACATTCAACATGGAAATGATTGGTTCCAATCTCGAACAGCTCAGTATTATCCTCAGACCTCTATTCTGCAACTTTTGCAATCATTGCAACTCATTCTGGTTGAGCAAATACAGTATAGTGGCACAATAATTAAAATAAGGTAATATTAAAAGTATTATAAATTATTATTTTAGCCCATTTGCCGAGATGTGGAGAACAGCGCCTCAAATAGTTTATTTTAAATCGGACACATCTGTCCCATTACATTTACGTAAACTGAATCACGTGATCAAAGATTTACTACATCTCAGTTGCATCCGATGTGGATTCTTAAACGCGGCATATACTGTGAAATTTGTGTTTCATGACGTTTGGGGTTGCAAAGCTGTATCGTAGATGTTGGACTTATTAAAAAATAAAGTATTCCTCGGACTTATAATTTTTTATTAATACATTTATTTTAATGAGATTGTACTTATACTGTCTTTCTTTTTTCACAGCTAAAGTTCTTCACAAAATGATGGACAGTGTTGTATCCTGGAATATGTAGCAGCCATCCAGCTACTTCATACATAATACAATTTTCATATACATTACATTTTTTAAATATTGGATTTGTATTATATATATTCTTTAATAAATTTATTTTTTGAATATTCTTGTTTTTTTTTATCTAAAAACTGTTAGCCAAATTAAGATTTGTTCACACAAACTGCATTTTTGCTTTATTATAGCGATATTCGCTATAATAAAGCAAAAATGCAATTTGTGTGAACAAATCTTAATTTGGCTAACAGTTTTTAATGCGGATAATTTTTACTGTCAAATTTGAATAGCCCCGCGCTTTTCTTCTCTTCTTCTTTTTATTATTTTCTCTTCTTTCATATGGCCTCTTACCAGACAAGGACTTAATTGAAAAAAATCAACCACGTCCACCAGGTACCGCTAAAAACTCTATCATCCTTTTTTAACATGGGAGATACCGTTCTAGTCAGTGTTGTTCCTGGTTGTACAATTGTACAAAAAGTTGTACAATCAGTCATGCGATTGTACTGTTGTACGCACTTTTGAAAAAAGACAGAAATGTTGTACAATTTGAAATTGCTAAATATTTATGTAAAAACGGGTATATAAAAGGTTTTCTTGGCTCAAAAAGTCTACGATTTGTTAAATAGCATGCATTAAAATTAATAAAAAAATAAAAGTTTAAATTTGGCAAGCTATATCAAGCTAGCGGGCACTCTGTGGCGGCACCCTACAAGACCTGGTGGGTTTTTTGTAGCTTTTTTGTAGCTTTTTTGTTACGCTATTTGCGAATTTGTAGCTTTGCCCAGGTCCGAAAAAACAGCGGATCCGCTAGCTTGAATTTCCATAAATTCCATAGTAGCGGCACAGATTCAGACCCAGCTGGTTTTTCGTAACTTTTTCGTAGCTTTTTTGTTACGCTAGTCTCCCTTTTGTAGCTTGTACTGAACCTGAGAAAAGCGCGGATCCGCTAGCTTAGCGGATATTTGTAGCGGCACCAGCCCGGACCCAAATAATTTTTTGTAACTTTTTTGTAGCTTTTTTGTTACGCCTGTCTCGATTTCGTTGCGAGGCCTGAACGTGAGTAATAATCGTTTCTCCATGAGGTGAGAGAAAAGTGCGTTAATTTAAAATCAAGTTTCGGCCTCTAGAAGTAATATGTGCAACTCGATAGTGTGACTATGTGTTGATAGATGGCACCAGTATTGCATTTCACGAATTATGGCCATCTTCCATCCAATATATTTTTGAGAAATTTAGATATTATAATCTCAAAATAGGACATTTTCAACGGTATGTATATTAATTATTTGTCCGATATTAATGTAAAATACATATTGGCAAGATTATTAAAATAGTTGTATGCCGGACGCCACTATTTTCCCGATTGGGTGTTTTCGGTTATTTTTAACCGACTTCAAAAAAGGAGGAGGTTCTCAATTCCTTGGGATATTTTTTTTATGTATGTTCAGCGATAATTCTTTAACACGGTGTCCGATTTCAATGATTATTTTTTTGTTAGAAAGGGGGTACTTCAGGGGTGGTCCCATATATATTTGGTCAAAATCTAATAATTGGGTCCATGAGAAAATCCTCAAACTCTTCATTTTTTATGTATGTTTAGCGATAATGCTTTTACCACCTTGTCCGATTTATATGATTTTTTTTGTTAGTAAGGGGGTACCTCGGGGTGGTCCCATATAAATTTGAAACGTTTTTGAAGTCGGTTTTTTTAATTTTTAATTTCTAATACTTGTTACTGCTAAAAACTTACTGCTAACTTCACACCGGTGGTAATTACCTATTCTCACTATATACAGTGTGCGTGTTCCATCTCAGACGAGCCACCCCGTATAGTTCTTATCCCATAGTAATTGGAAAAATTTCCCGAAACACGTCTGATGATTTTCTTTGGGTGACATCTTTTAACGTATATTTGAGGCTTGAACGAACAACCCCCTATAAGGGGGCGCTTCAACCCCTCAAAATTAAATAGGGAAGAGGGGTTGGGTGATACTTTTATAAGGTCGTGGAAGCCTCTTTACAACGGTGTATGAAAAAAATCACATTCTTAAAAAAAATCAATTGTTTTATCATGCTTACAATCAAAAAAATCAAAACTGCGTTTTTAAATGAAATGTTCAATTTGTGTTCCATTGATTTCCATGCAATAATAAATTCTCTCGAACTAATAAATAAAAAAAAAATCAAAACATTTTCTTATCTTGCCTTCATTTTTTGTTCTTAGAAGGTGTTTATCACGTTTCTTCGATCATTTCACGTGATAAAACAATTAATTTTTTTCAAGAATGTGATTTTTTTCATAGACCGTTGTAAAGAGGCTTTCAAGACCTTACAAATGATGTATCACTCAACCCTTCTTCCCCATTCCATTTTGAGGGGTTGAAGCGCCCCCTCATAGGGGGTTCCCAGACAGCACACCAAATCCTTTGGATATCTACTGAACATCCCAATATCCACTGAATGTCCAGTCCATGGTGGATATCTATTTTATATCCATGAGCTGTAATTTATAGACATGCAAATGTCCATAAATAATAGTAATTATATAGCAAATTATTAAAAAAAATTACGCCATTGTGGCTAATAGTACCGTTCAGATATTTAAAATTAATTTTTTTAAGGTGTTCAATATCCCATGGACATCCACTAAATATATCAAATTCTAGGCGCGAACGCAAACCATCGTGGATATCCACTAGATGTAATTTTTGATTTTGCTTACTAAGTATAGATGGCGATATATTACTTTCGCATCTTCTCATGCTCAACCCGCCGTAATTGAGTTCGTTCGAAATTTTTCATAATCAGACTTCATTAGAGACCGGAGTCGAGAATTTCTAATTATTGCTGAAGAGTCCTAATAAGGATAACTTTCTCCTTAGTGGGCAAAATCAAAGGCAGTGTTGAAAATATTTTTTATCTCTGCTATTTTCTTTCGACTTTATTCAATAATCATTGGTTACTTATGAACCTCTACTAAAGATACCTATAAAATATTTTGCTGAATATCCGAATTCTTCTATATCCTGGGATATAGACGGACATTTGGTTGGATATCCATATTGGATATACACAGAATATATTCTGTGGATATCTCTGGAATTTTTTGTATTGTCTGAAAGATACTCATTAGATATTTTGCTGGATATCCATATGATATCTTCTATATTCTGGATATAGACGGACATTTGGATATCCATATTAGATCCACGGAATATTTCTGATATCCTGTGGATATATTGGATATCCACAAAAGATATTCTGTGGATATCTCTGGGATTTGGTGTGTTGTCTGGGTTGCTGGTTCAAGCCTTAAATATACGTCAAAAGATCGATGACCCCCAAAGAAAATCATCCGACGTGTTTCGAGAAATTTTTCCAATTACTATGGGATAAGAAATATACGGGGTGGCTCGTCTGAGATGGAACACACTGTATAGTTGTGATCCGACAGAATTAAACACTGGTCCATAAATACTGCAAAACGATTGGTTAAGGAAATTATTCAAAAAATATGGAAGAATATTCTTGATTCAACAAAAGTATAAATACACATAAGCAACACTAAAAAACATTTAAAAACAAATGTCCGATTTTGAGATTATATCTAAATTTCTCAAAAATATATTGGATGGAAGATGGCCATAATTCGTGAAATGCAATACTGGTGCCATCTATCAACAGATAGTCACACTATCGAGTTGCACATATTATTTGTAGAGGTCGAAACTTGATTTTAAATTAACGCACTTTTCTCTCACGCTCATGGAGAAACGATTATTACTCACGTTCAGGCCTCGCAACGAAATGGAGACAGGCGTAACAAAAAAGCTACAAAAAAGTTACAAAAAATGAGCCTGGTCCGAGCTGGTGCCGCTACAAATATCCGCTAAGCTAGCGGATCCGCGCTTTTCTCAGGTTCAGTACAAGCTACAAAAGGGAGACTAGCGTAACAAAAAAGCTACAAAAAAGTTACGAAAAACCAGCTGGGTCTGAATCTGTGCCGCTACTATGGAATTTATGGAAATTCAAGCTAGCGGATCCGCTGTTTTTTCGGACCTGGGCAAAGCTACAAATTCGCAAATAGCGTAACAAAAAAGCTACAAAAAAGCTACAAAAAACCCACCAGGTCTTGTATGGTGCCGCCACAGAGTGCCCGCTAGCTTGATAGAGCCAATTTGGCACCATTCGCGACCAATCAGTACACCGTTTTACATCAAAAATATATTTTAAACTGGAAAAAAGAAGAATTTTAAGCATGGGAAAGTAGTAGGCCATAGTCTGTCAATAAAAAAGAAGAAGATTAATTAGTGGTTGTACAATCGAAAGTAAAAGTGTACAATTTTGACACTGAAAGTTGTACAATTCAAAAATCCCTAGGAACAACACTGGTTCTAGTGTTCTGTGATTTAAGCGTATCGTGTGGATGCATGTGCTTTTGTACTTTTTCTAACCTCAAAATATAATTAATAAAGTTTTTAATAACTGGAAATTTTCGATTTAATTATATTGATTCAATTGGTAATGGTATAGCTTGAAAATATTGGGTTTGAAAGATGAAGGTTGATAAATTTGAGGCATCTGATTTTCAATCGGATAGTAATGATTCAAATAGCGAAGAAGATATTCTTAATAAACCATTTTCAATGAAACTTAAACGAAAATATGAAGATATTCCAACAGACGCTCCAAAATCGAAGAAGAAAAACAAAAATGATTTATATAAGCCTCCCACTGTAGAAGAACTTAATAATTTACGTGAAACAGAAAATTTATTTAATAATAATCTATTCAGACTACAAATTGATGAACTGCTTAATGAAATAAAAATCAAAGCAAAAAGATCAAATAATCTAGAAAATTGGATCAAAAACTTTAAATCTTGTCTCGAAAAACTACCTCCAAATGAAGCAGTACTATCAGATTTACTAAATTTGAAGAATAAAAAAGGTAAATTATTGAAAAATCTAGTAAATTATAAAATTTTGTTCAAAACTGATCAAGATCTTACATTAAAATTTGTGAAACCTGAAGAAATACAATGTTTTGGTTTATTTGAAAATAAATGTTTACCTGGACCAAATATAACATTGAATATTAATTTAACCATGCCTAAAAGCTGCTTTTTAATAAAGGACTACCTAAATAACAGATATTTCGTTAAAAAATACTATTATATACTGTATATTGCTGAATATTTAAAAAAATGTAATCTGACATCAAATTTAAAAATATCTTTTTATGAAAATAACCATTTATTTCCTATTATTGAATTAATACCAAAAGATACAGATAAAACTACGGTTTTAATATTGGTTACGCCTTCTCAGGACACCTTCAAGCCTTTAAGATTTTTACCACAACAAAATAATTGCAAAATAGACCTTTTTAATGCTGAATTGGATGCTGAAATATTAAAAAACACCCCTACTATATTTTATAACAGTTTATTGGCACATGATGTGACATTATACTCTAATAATACATTTTTAAATAAGCTACTTATGGACCAAAGGAACATACAAGATGGTATAAAACTTTTAAATGTTTGGTTAAAACAAAAGGAGTTGAATATTGGAATTGGGTCTTTTACAGAAAATTTAATAATTTATATAATAGCATATCTACTTCATAAGAAGAAAATAAACAAGTTTATGTCATCTTACCAAATAGTTCGAAATTTTTGGAACTTTTTAACTACAATCGATTTATTAAATGAACCCATAAGTATAGGAGAAACTACACAAGATATTTTGAAAAGTTTTAAAGAACATTACAGTGTTGCTATTTTAGATAAAACAGGATGTTATAATGTAGCATCATATCTCAGTTCAGAAATCTACAAAAAAGTTAAATTAGAAAGCCAGGCTGCTTTGAATAATTTAGATAATAATCAAAATAACAGTTTTTATAAGCTATTTTTATCTAAATGTCCATTTCATCTTCAGTATGATGTTATAATAGATTTGACAAAATCTGTGCCACTGGAGACGTCTTGGAATATTACACAAAAAGAAAAGTGCTTGTATATAGGTTATAATAACTTATTAACTTATGATTTTATAAATAAAACTCTTCAAAATGGTTTGGGCAAGAGGATTTTAAATATTGTACCAAGAATAGAGACAGAAGATGGTATTTTAAAACGATTGCTTTTTGGAATTAACTTAAATCCTGATGAAGCTTTCAATTTTCTGGAAAAAGGTCCTGCTTTAAATGATTTTCAAAATGCTGCTATTTTTAGAAATTTCTGGGAGGAACTGGCTACTGATAGGAGATTTAAAGATGGATCTACAAATGTTGCTGTGTACTTTAAAACAAACACCATTAAATCGAAGAGAAATATAATTATTAGAATTTTAAATTTCATTTTGGAAGGCAAACTAAAGCTTAAACATAAAATACACTATAATGAATTTGAAGATATACTGATTTCTAAAAGATTAGTACCTTCTTATCCCAGCGGAACAAATGAAGAAACTTCTTTGAAAATAATTTTGGCTGCCAATGAACTCAGTAAGAAGTTAAGGGAGTTGAATATTTCGTTGAAGATAACTGGTGTTCAAGGAGTGTCTGATGCATTTGCTTATTCAGAAGTGTTCCCACCCATACCTTCCAATTTTAAGGTAAATAATTACTTCTATTAATTAAATTATGTTTAAAATACTGCTTTTGTAAGGTTTATTTATTAGTAAAGTTGGGATGTCAATCTTTACCTGTGTGTAATAAATAAAATCCTAAAAAAATTAATTGAGAATCAATTGGTTAAAACAATGTCTGTCTTGAAATTAAAAACGATATAACTACTGCTCTGACCAACGTCCAAATAGTATAGTCTCATTAGATAACAGTTATTTACATATTCAAATAAGGAACATCTGAATCTATAAAAAATAAATTAAGTTAATGTTCTTTGTTGGATAAAAGCCCTAGTTTTATTTTAACGAAATTCTCCTATTGCATAAAATATTCCAACAGCTGGTAAATCATCAAGATAGCGACGACAAACACTATTTGGCGATAATATGACAGATGGATGCACTTCGAGTGGCAAAAAGTGCAATGAAAATGGCATCTTGGGTGGTACTTTAATTTCTTTGAAGTCAATAATTTTATATTTGAAGACTGATGGAATGAAAATGATTTTATATAATTTAAATGAAGCTATTTAACAAAAAGGGCATTTATTTTCACCAAAACTGACTAGTTTCACTATCTCGAGTTAGACATATTGAAGTAAAAGTGTAATGCAAAATGCAAAGATGTGGACACTTTAGCATCGTCAAAGCGTCTCCTCTTTACTCTATCTCAATGTGGTAAATGTAAAAATTCCAGCTTGAGGAACAGCAGATGGCGCTCATCACAAGTGCGAACATTCAAATGTCAGAATATTAAATTTTTTTAATGTAAAAATAAAATGTACTTACTTATTGTGGATTTAAAACTAACTTATTAAACCCTTTAAAAAATTGTTTTTCTACGATCACTATCCAAAGTAGGCTTTTGCGCATTCAAATCTAATTGAAAAGTTGACGTTTTCCATGAATTGTCATAGTTTGACATTATTGCCGCATATAGGCGGAAAATTACTTTTTGCACACGCTTATTTTCATTAGAAAAATTGTTATTATAAAGCTAATCGGTATTTTAAAAGAAAATGTGGAATAATCTGAATCTTTTAGTTGAACATTTAATACTCAAACTCATTTTCCTTAATATTTAAATGAGAATTAAAATATTAAAAATAAATTACCCTGTTTTTAACACTTATATTTAACATGTCTTGTCAGGTATTTTAAGAGATTAAAGGGGAGAAATAGAGGAAAGGAGAGTGAAAGTTTGTATGGGGCTCTCGATTTTTTAAAGGTAGGAACTTGAAAACTGGAATTGTATCTACTTATTATAAATAAACAGATATGTTTCAGGGTATTTTGTTTTTACATATCAAGGGGAAAAACGGGAGGTGAAAGTTTGCATGAGACTTTCGTTTTTTTAAAGGTAGAAATTTGAAAATTGGAATTGTAGCTACTCATCATAAGTAAATAATGACCTATTTCAAGGTTTTTGGATTTTTATATTTTAAAGAGGGGAAGGGAATGGGAAGTATCGTAACAATAAATAATAAAAAAATAATTATAAAAGAAATAAAAAATAATAAAAATTGCGGTCCCAAATCCAAAATGATGGGTTGAAGAAAAATTAAAAAATAATAAAAATTAATTGACGTTGAAGGCCACGCTGCCATGTTTTGCACTGCTTTCCTTTCGTGAGCGCTATGGACCGAATGAGTGGTTGTATTGACATTTTTCAAATATATATAATTTACAATAGTTTTGTTCGTGTCAATAGCTTTACAATGAAGAGAATGCCGAGCGTTCAAAATCGGCTGATGTTTGTAAATTTCATCAAAGTTACCCCTATTTTGTTACATTTATAATTTCCCTTGAAAACAGATTGGAAAAAAATGAACCCCGCCAATCAATCAGAAATTTAGTGTAGGATCCTCAAGAGTGTATTTTTAATGTATAACTGAGACGCGATTAACAGCACGCGGTCGTAGGATAAGAAATTCTGAAAAATTAAAAGTTCTAGAGCTCTAAAATTTTGCAGGTATACGTAAATAAATGCTCTGATGAACATATCCAAGTTTAAATGGACCCATATGCTAGCTCGCTTTGGAGAATTTAATTTAACATTTTTTTCTAAGATTGATACTTTTACAGTTAGGTACCATTTATTCCCTTTACATGTTTCTCCTATTACATTATATATTAGAAATTATTAAATATAGTGGTATGTTTTCATTTTTTGTGTACAAAAAAATAGCCCCCTGACTTGGTACTAAAATGTCTGATGCATAAAAGTCAATATAGATTTTCTTAGCAATTGTAAGAATGGGAAAATGTATTTTATATACATGTTTTCTATCTGACCTTTTGTTTAAAATGTATTGAAAAAAAAAATACTGTTGGAATCAGTTTATCATTATTAGTGAATCATATACTAGGATTCTATTAAAATTTAGATATGTTCATCAGAGTATTTAAGTACCCATACCGGCAAAATTTTATTTTTCCTTTAATTACGTCTTAGTTAATTAATTAAAAATAGGTGCTTCGGGGAACATGAACTAGGCTTAATTTATGATTGATTGGCGGAAAGCATTTTTCCTAATCGGTTTTTAAGGAAAATTATAAGTATAACAAAAAAGGGATAACTTTGATGAAATTTACAAATATCCTCTAGATAACGAATGGACTAGAATTAGATTAATCATTTGCGTAGTTTCTAAAAACATCCCTAAAAATGGAAGCCAGATAGCCCGTGAAAGGGATCATCAAGATATCGAATTGGACTAACATATCAATCATTTTTATTTTTTTTTTCTAATTTTTTACAGGTAAATCTACAGGCAATTTAAATTTTTTGTTAGTTTAAGGGCAAATAAATTCATGCTTAACAGTAAATATAAAACTTAATATTCTACCCCAACTAACATCTAGTTTTACCAAGAGATATTCAAGTGTAGTAAGACATGACTGAAAAATCGACGCCTTTTTAACTGCATCCAAATTCCAATTGTTTTTCATTTAAATATCAATAGGGTTGGTTCAAAAATGACTTTTTGCTAGTAACTGTTACTATTCATACTGCCTTTCAATACCATTATAATTTTACTCCTAATTAATATATCTATTGTTTAAATATTTATAATTAAAGTTAATATGTCTTTACAGGTTAATTCCAACACTACAACAATAGAAGGAGAAAACATAACATTCAAATCTGATGAGAAGCTTGATTATGTGCCACGGTACATTCGACCAATCGAATCAGTGCTTCACCTTGAACACAGTTCAAAATGGCCCAATAATTTAGAAGCGTTACGTCACATCAAATCATCTTTTTATTTGGAGATATCAAAATTGTTAAAATCTAATCACAAATTATTGACACACCCGTGTAGAAATTTTTTAGACGTGTTTTTTGAAGGGATAGTTTTTAGGTATAAAATTTTCGTTCCAAAAGAAGTAGGATTGGCTAAAAAAACCGAGACTGGAGATGGTTTAACTTCGTTTAAAGAATCTGAGGAAAGTTTAAATTTAGACATTTCTTTAAATATATTGCCTAAAGTTATGGGCGCTCTTAGGGGAGTGCAGTCTTTATACCCTAGTTACGGCCCTGGTACATGTTTAATAAAACGTTGGTTAAGAGTACATTTGATAGATGATGATCATATTTCGGATATTGCTATTAACTTGTTAAACGCGTCTTTATATTTAAATGATAGTTTAATACCTAATACTCCACAAATTTCATTTTTAAGATTCTTAAAATTCATTTCTGAATTAGATTGGAACTTGCATCTAGTTATAGTTAATTTTAATAATGATTTAACTTGTGAAGAAATATCTAAAGTTGAGTCTGAAGTACAAAATAACAGAATTTCATATCCAAATCTGTTCATTTTAACTCCATACGATCGGAGTTTATCAATTTTCACTAGAAATTTTCCATCTAAAGAAATTTTAAATAGAATCAAACAATTGGCCTTAGAAAGTTTAGCTTTTCTAGATGAGATTATCGTAGGTCAAAATAATGTTGGTATTAAGGAATTGTTTATTCCAAACTTTGACGGTTACAACGTTTTGATACACTTGAGACGTTCTTATAATCCAAAACGTTATGAAGAAATATCTTTTTCTAATGTAAATCGCATAGTTGTTGAAAAATATAAACATTCAGATGAAGATAAAATACCTATTGTAGATTTTGACCCTGTTAAGAAGTATTTAATATATTTAAGGAAAAATTACGGAAAATATGCTATATTCTTTCACGACAGTTATGGAGGAAACGTAATAGGTGTTCTATGGCGTCCCAAAGTATTTGAGAAGTCAGATTTTAAAGTTAGTAACGTTAACGCAGGGAAAATTGTCGGTGAAAAAGTTATTTTTAATACAGATGCGGTTATTGAAGATTTCTACATTTTAGGGAAAGATTTAATTAAAACTATTGAAATAAGATAGACGTTTTTTGTACCATATAAATATGTATTTTTTTTGTAATTAAAAATAAAAACACTTGTAATTTGCTTTATTCTATATTCCAAGTATAAAAAAAAATTCTAAATAAATTTAGAATTTTGTAGATAACTCAAAAAAGGACTAAGAAAAACACCAAATTTAAGCTTTAGTCCATCCTATGATGAACTGAATAAATTTTGGGCATAGTCGGAATATCTGGGTGGTGCTTTATTGAAGGTCGGTCGTTTTTCTACTTTATGGAATATATATTATTTAAGCTTGGAGAAGAAAATTCTTTAAATAAAATATTTGTCCCATGCACAATTTTCCTAGAATGGTCCATATTCGAGAAATTTGACAAAAAGTGCAATATTCCAATTTTTAAGAAAATTGTTCAAATAAAAGTGCGATATCATTCTCTTATAATTTTTATTCTATATGATTTCTCTAAAATGGATCGCAATGGAAAAATTTGAGGAAAAGTATAAAATTTTAATCTTTCAGTATTTTCGACTTACGTTGGAAAGGAATATTTACAGGGGTGATACAATAGATTGCACAAAGTAACCGGAAAAAGCCTGTAATAAATAGACAGGAAAGTCATGTGTTAGACACATCAGATTTTTATTAATAATAATTGTGAAATAGAAGCAGCTACCATGTGCATTTTTTCCATTTTTGTGTAAAATATTTATTATTCATTCATATTTATAAAACGAATTTCCTCGGGGTAGATTGTAGATTCATCTATTAAGAACAAAATAATAATCTTTAGCAAAGTAAAAACTAATCAATCTAAACAGCAATGTTTATTCATTTTGTAACATTAAAAAAAAACAAATTATTATATTAGTTCAGTGTTGAGTTTAAAATCTCATGATTTTAATAAATTAAAATAATTAGAATGAGAGCTTAACAACTGTTACATCATCTTAATGGTTATTGTTATAGTAATTCAATCATTCCATCTTTCTCTATATTAAGGTGACCAATCCTTCCTTGAAAAGTGTCCTCCTTTTCGATATTTTAAAACTAATCTATTAATCTCTGTATTTTGATACTCTAGCTGCAGCACTTATTACCGTACAATTCAATATGAAGGATATTTCTAGCTCCGAAATTGGCAATATATTGTTAGAAAATGATATATTGGCAAAATATTCGATTTATTAAAAGGGATGCAAGCATAATTAGTATATTTTTGTTTGAATTGATAAAATATTTCATTTATTTACGTTATGCCAAAGAAGGCAGGAGACACCTAGGGAATTTTGAGTTAAAATCTATGCCATGTTTTTAGGCTATTTTTATACCTTATTCAAAAAATTTATTATAAAAATCATAGTGATCTGCTAGCTTCGTACGAAGCCAGCAAGCCCCCAGTTTTTTAATCTTTTTTCAAAAAACAGCCACACAACATTTTTATTCTATTTTTAGGCTCTTGAAATATATATATTTTTAACAATACTTTTGTTAGAACGAAATATAAAACAATCCAAAAAAATTATCATAAAAAATAGGATGCTTTGCTAGCTCCGAACAAAGACATGAGCACCACGGTTTTCTATTTTTTATTTATTTATTTTTTTTTTCTAAAAACAAACATTTTTAGGCTCTTAAAATATTATAAAACATTCCCAAACAATGTGTACCATTTAAAAAAAAATAGGATGCTTTGTTAGCTTTGAACAGAGACAGCCGAGCGGAGCTCCTTGGTTTTCTTGAGCATAACATTTCTGGGCCATTTTAAAACTCTTGTAATATTATAAAACATTAAAAAAATTGGATTTTAAAAAATATGTAGTATTTTGATAGCTTCAGAGGAAGTCGATGAAGCACCTAAGTTTACTTAAGGTTTTTACTATTAAACAACCCCACCAAGTTTTTTGGTAATTTTTAAGCTTTTGAAATATAAAATATTCCAAAAAAAAATAGCTTAAAAATGTGGCATAGTTAGTTAAAAAAAGAACTTAAAAAATTGAAGTGATGTTTTGCGGTCTTTGTTCAAACAATACGCCTAGTATTTAAAAATTGCATTTTTTTAGAAAAGTTTTAGAATATCTCAGGAGCCTAAAAATGGGGGGGGGGTTGTTTTTAGAAAAAACCCAAGGTGCTCCTACTAGCTTCAGAGGAAGTCGATAAAGCACCTAAGTTTACTTAAGGTTTTTACTATTAAACAACCCCACCAAGTTTTTAGGTAATTTTTAAGCTCTTCAAATATAAAATATTCCAAAAAAAATAGCTTAAAAATGTGGCCTAGTTAGTTAAAAAAAGAACTTAAAAAATTGAAGTGATGTTTTGCGGTCTTTGTTCAAACAATACGCCTAGTATTTAAAAATTGCATTTTTTTAGAAAAGTTTTAGAATATTTCAGGAGCCTAAAAATGGGGGGGGGGGGGTGGTTGTTTTTAGAAAAAACCCAAGGTGCTCCTACTGGCTTCGTTCGAAGCTAGCAAAGCACCTTGATTTTTGTAAAAAAAAGGTTCATAAAATTTTTGAAGAAGGCATAAAAATAGTCTTAAAATAGCCAAAAAAAATATGGCATAAGTTTTAACTTAAAATTCTGTAGGTGCTTGGCTTCCTCCTTTGGCATATTTACGTTGTACTTTTTCCTTAAATTTTCTCGTCCTACTTTTCATTGCAAAATAATTGGTCACCTTATCTATATCCTTTCGTAAAATGTGCTTGCGTCTGGTTACTATTTCTTCCAGTAAGTCAGGAATTATATTTTTGTTATCCATGTGCTCTACACCCAGTGATGATTTTACTTTGAATTTACTTATTAGTGAACGCAGATGCTAATTTTATTTAGTTTCCTGCTGATCAACCATTTTTTAAACTGAAAAGTTTGTTTACATTTAATAATAATAATTGTTAGCTACAGATTTTTTTGTTAAGGCATGTTATATTAAAATCATGTTCCAATTACAAAGTTTAATCAAAATATTAAATTATAATATAAAAGTATATTTTATAATTCATATAATTATTCAAAGAAGCTAAAGCTATACCGTACAGTCCCGGTAAATTTAACTAATTGGGGTAAACTACTCTGATTAGATAACTTTAAAGCCTAGAAGGAAGCTAAAATTTTGCAAAATAAATTATAAGCTATTGGCAGTTTAAAATGTTACTTTAAAGAAAGTTCAAAAATAATCTAGTAAATATTAAAATCTCGTTTATGAGAAAAAATTTAGCATTTCATTTATATTTACAAAATTAAAAAATGATTAGTAAAAAAATATGCTTTCTGCAGTTAACTGTTTAAATGTTTTCATTTTTGATGAATGTTCTAGTTATTTTTAAAATAAAAATTGCAATAAATTTACAAAGATACTGTTCAATGTTACTAAGGCCAATTCGCTCTGCTAGTTAAGAAATAAGAAAAGCTTTAAAATGTAATTATAAGCATAGGTTATTTCTTAACGACTAGCATTGCAAATGGCTCTAACGACTTGGTATATAGGCATTATAAAGAATAAAAAGTATGTATTTGTTTTGTATATTATATCAAATTATATAATAGTGGAGTGAAATGTTTAAACATCAAAACAAAAATATGGAACTTATCTTCTGTAAGCAATGAACATAATTATTGTTTTTTTTTTAAGTCATTAACTTATCTTTAATTATAATGTATTTGGTACAAAAATAGGAATGAAAGTGACAGGTCAGTCATCTACAGTCTTGTGTATTTCACAATAGCCGAAATCGCCCACTGTCTGAATGTTTTGGCCACAACGCGTTATGGGCTTCGAGCATAATGCTCGAAGGTTATGGGCATAGTAGTTTACCCACAATGCAGTTAGAACATTTTTTTCTGAACAGTGAGTAAAGCTAATTAACCAGAACGCGTTGTGGGTAAACTAATGCTACGTTTGAGAATCCACATCGGATGCATCTGAGATGTAAAAAATCTTTGATCACGTGATTCAGTATACGTAAATGTAATGGGACAGATGTGTCCGATGTGGATAAAAAAACGCTCGAGATGTAAAAAATGCATCCGATGTGGATTCTCAAACGCAGCATAAGCTACCAAGGATACGAAATGATGGTTCGCGCGTTTTTGTTTTGCATTGTTGAGCACTTCGTTTGCCCACGTCGCGTCGCGTTCTGGCTATTGTGATTTACTCAGAACGTGTTGAAGACGAGCTGTTAACAAACTATCTGATGTTTGTAGAATAATACTCAGTGACCGTATGAGGGCCATATTTGAGAACTCCACAAGAAATGGACTATTGGATACGTGCTTAGATATATCTGTCGTAAATGAAAGAGCATCTGAAATTGCTTATCCAGTCTTTAGAAAAAGCAAAATACTGTATCCGAGAAACATTATCTGAAATTAGTGAATCGGAACTAGAGATCGAAAAGATACTGAAACAGAAAATGATAGAAACAGCAGAAGGCTTGAGAACAAAAATGCCATTATGAATAAATGTTTTATTTGTAAAAGCATGTACGTCCCAATGTGTATTTTGAATGCAATTAACCATTTTATGCTGAATATGGTGCTGATTTGGATTTGCCATTTTGCAAACCTGGCAATAAAAAAGCAGCTGATAGATAGAAGAGGTTGCAAACAGAGGCTTGAAAGACAAGCTGATAAAATGCTTACCCAATCGCAATACAAATTCCCACCTGTTTATATAGGTGTTTTAATAAAAATACCAGAGGTATGTCATGGAGATCTAGCTCCTCGGAATGTATTAGCAAACACTATAGAAAAGACTGATCAAGATTTGTACATTCTCGGCACTAAAAATGTAAAATTAAAACGGTTATAGAGCGAAAATAAATTTTTGATTGTCTCCTTCATTTTTATCATTATCTGAGTTCGCTTTAGGTTATCCTGTAGATGTGCAGGGATAAGCCAAATTATTTGTCTTCTGGGCCTAAGCAAGGGTTTGTCTGATGTAATTCTCTAAAAGGATGTCAAACGAAGGCATGTAGGTGCATGAAATTAAATATATAATGGAATCAACGACGAAAAATTACTAGACTAGTATAGTAGACGTAAATACTTATTCATTGATAAAATGCACGATTGCTCCTCAGATAAACATACTCACACAAATCATATCCTATCAAATTACCAGCTGTCTCCTTCTTTAACAGCCCTGTCTGTGTAATAATAAACATAATTTGAATGATTGAAATAAAAAAGGGCGTCATTGGGATAGAATGGATTAGTCTAGTAGTTTTTCGTTATTGAACACAATGATTCAAAATGTTATTAGAGCTGTTTTTGTATTGTTTGTTTTTTAAGTGTGTTTCACTATTTCTAGTTTTCTGTGTTGTTTCTATTTTCTTTTCCTTTTTTTTTTAATAAATTTATGTTAAATGCGTTTATATAAATGCTCTTTTATTCGTTTTATTTAAAACTCTTTCTGAGTAACAAAATAGCCAGAACGTGACGTGAGCAAATGAAATGCTCCAGAATGCAAAACAAAAGCCCATTAACTATTATACTCACTCACTGTTTGGAGAAAAACGTTTCTAACCACTACGTGGGTAAATTACTATACTCATAACACATTGTGGACAAAAAATTCAGGCAATGGACAATTTCGGCCTTCTTTCTTAAATTTATCTCCAAAGATTCGTTTTATTATTATAAATTCAATAACAAATGTGTGAACATTGTAATAGTGAAAAATACATTTTTTTAGTATTAAATAAAAATTAAATCATTATAGGATGAGAAGCCTACATAAATAAAGGAAACCAATTTCAATACTCCAAAAAAAAACAAAATATTAGCATTAAAAAGTACCAGTTTTCTTCATACATGTTCTTGACCTACAAAAGATAGATTCTAATTACAAACAATAATGTAAAGGTCGAAACATACCAATCATAACAAAATTATACTAGTTTTCAAACATATTAAAAAAGGTTTGTTACAGTAGTAAAAGTTAATTACTTTAGTGGAGGAAATTTCACAACTAGATTTTTACAATTTTCAACTTTTGTTGGAATAACATCATTCCTCACTAACAACTCTAAGTTGTAAAGCATTCTCCAGATTTGATATAGCAGTATCCAACTGAGAAAATAGTAATTTTATAGAGTTAGATATATCATTATAATTTTGTAGAGCTACCAGTACTTTTTTAGTTATATCTCGACATTCTCCATAAAGTTTAAGGTTACTTAAAGCTATTTCTTCCAATTTTCCAGAAAATTCGACTACTTTAGAGATGTTAATAGAATCAATAAAGGGCAACAGAGACTCTAGAGTACTAATGGTTTGTACAGTGTCTTTCAATTCAGGATACAATTCAAGCAAACATTGTCGTTTTGCTTCCACTTCTAACTCGTCAGCATCGCCGGCAGGGTTCAAATAATCATTAATGATTACTAAATGTTGCAACATTGAAGTGATCGATTCCCGACAATGTAGGGCTGATTTGATCATTGTTTGAGTTTCCGACAATAAGTCGGTAATAGTTTGGGTTTTATTTGAAATTTGAGAATGGTCTCCTAATGGAAAAACTTGTAATTCTAGGGCCTCGATACGCTTTTCTAGGACTGCGATGGGATCCATATCTGAAAATGAATGTCTTTGTAAAAATAATTGTTATACGGTTATTATTAATAACGCTTGTATTACTAGTTAATTAAAATTAACATTCAATCATACCTGAACAAATTGAGTTTATCTTTTTATTAAATAATTATTTGTAAATGTCAAAAGTAAACAGGAGAATGGTGGTTAAAACTTTTTATTTATTTTTTCTATGGTTATAAAAAAAATTAACTGAATTGACTTATGACATATGCATTGAATAAGGTGTGTTCTTTTATTCAATTAGTTCCATTTGGAGCGCCACGAAGTATACGGTTTGTTTCAGTTCAAACAGAACTGCAAATAGGCCTTTTCATCATGTGATGAGCGCAAGCGCAGCCACCGTGTTGAAATAGAACAGAAGTAAAAGTTGGAAATGCTTTTGCCAGTTCTCCCATTTATACACATAAATTGACAGGTTGTCAGCGGATCTCACCGAAGTGGACACGATACATTGGCGTACAAAATTATTTTATAGATGTTAATAACAATTTCGAGTAAATAGTTTAATAAATTGTGAATAGCTGTTGAAATTTTGTAAAATTATAATTTGATTATAATACATGTTTAATAATTATTTATAATCCATAAATACATGCGATGGTCCGGTTCCGCCGATAACAATTTAAAATTACTTATTCTATGAAACGACACTGGCAGGTAAACATTACTGTGAAATTCTCGGAGCCGCCCGACGTGGTTTGACTCAACTTGGAAAGGCAATTTTTTTGAATTTTGACTATAATCCGCAATTTTTTTTCAAAAAATCAAGAAATATTTATCTGCAGTTTTATTTAAAACATATGTCAAATCTGTAATTTTGTGACACTAAAGTGATATGTCACCCGAAGGGGTATTTAATATTAAAAAATATTGTGTAATACCAGACAAGGATTTTCTTCTGTTGAACCACTTTCTCCATGAAAATGTAGTAAACAAATATAAGTATATTTAGTACCTAACATCATCCATCAATCTATCGAAAACCTTTGTCACTTCGACCACATCTTTTCTTTCATATAATGCTCATTTTGAACTTGTTTTAATATGTATTTTGCCTAATTTGATAGTTTTTTACGATATTGCAGGCAACCCAGACAACACACCAAATCCCAGAGATATCCACAGAATATCTTTTATGGATATCCAATATATCCACATCAGGATATCAAAAATATTCCATGGATATCCAAATGTCCGTCTATATCCAGAATATAAAAGATATCATATGGATATCCAGCAAAATATCTAATGAGTATCTTCCAGACAATACAAGAAATCACAGAGATATCCATAGAATATATTCTGTGGATACCCAATATGGATATCCAACCAAATGTCCGTCTATATCCCAGGATATAGAAGAATTAGGATATTTAGCACAATATTTTATAGGTATCTTTAGTAGAGGTTCATAAGTAATCAATGATTATTGAATAAAGTCGAAATAAAATAGCAGAGATAAAAAATATTTTCAACACTCAAAATATTTTCAACACTCTGCTTTTGATTTTGCCCACTAAGGAGGAAGTTATCCTTATTAGGACTCTTCAGCAATAAATGGAAATTCTCGACTCCAGTCTCTAATGGAGTCTGATTGTGAAACAAATTTCGATCGAACTCAATTACGGCGCGGCGGGTTGAGCATGAGTAGATGCGAAAGTAGTATCGCCATCTATTCTTAGTAAGCAAAATCAAAAATTACATCTAGAGGATATCCACGATGGTTTGCGTTCGCGCCTAGACTTTGATATATTTAGTGGATGTCCATGGGATATTGAATACACCTTAAAAAAAATTAATTTTAAATATCTGAACGGTACTATTAGCCACAATGACGAGCACAAGGCGTAATTTTTTAATAATTTGCTATATAATTACTATTATTTATGGACATTTGCATGTCTATAAATTACATATCATGGATATAAAATAGATATCCACCATGGACTGGACATTCAGTGGGTATTGGGATGTTCAGTAGATATCCAAAGGATTTGGTGTGCTGTCTGGGTTTTGATGTATATTTGAGGCTTGAACGAGCAACCCCCTATAAGGGGGCGCTTATTGAACTCCTCAAAATTGAATAGGGAAGAGGGATTGAGTGATACTTCATTTGTAAGTTCCTGGAAGCCTCTTTACAACGGTGTATAAAAAAAATATGATGTGTCCAACACATGACTTTCCTATCTAGTTATTATAGGCTTTTTCCGGTTATTTTGTACAACCTATTGCAGCACCTCTATAAATGTTTATAGGATAAACTAAATATATACATTGTCCACATACATCTACCTCGAAACATTTTTCTATAGATATTCATGGAAAACGAAAATACTGAAAAATTTAAATTTCCTACAATTTTTTCATTACGGTCCATTTTAGAAAAATCATGTATAAACAATCCTAATCACTCCATTAGAGACTGGAGTCGAGAATTTTCATTTATTGCTGAAGAGTCCTAATAAGGATGACTTTCTCCTTAGTGGGCAAAATCAAAGGCAGTGTTGAAAATATTTTGAGTGTTGAAAATATTTTTTAACTCTGCTATTGTCTTTCGACGTCATTCAATAATCATTGGTTACTTATGAACCTCTACTAAAGATACCCATAAAATATTTTGCTGAATATCCGAATATCTTCTATATCCTGGGATATAGACGGACATTTGGTTGGATATATTGAATATCCACAAAATATATTCTGTGGATATCTCTGTGATTTCTTGCAGGGACCCGGACCGAAATGAAATTGACGGTTCGGTTCGGTTCCGGTTCTTATCACATTAAAAAAAATCCGGTCCGGTACGGTTCCGGTTCTCAAAAAAAAATTTCGGTTCGGTTCGGTCTGGTTCTACCAAATTTTTTTCGGTTCGGTTCAGTTATTTCGGTTCGATTGATTTTTTTATAGTAGGTATGTACAGGGTTATTCATTATAAATTACCCACCCCTTATTATCGTTATTGCATATTGAAAAAAAAAAGTTTCAAATAAAAGTTGTGTGGTTATAACTGTTTTTTGTTAAAATTCTATCAAATGTACAGTAGCGTGCAGATTTTCGGGGATACCTTGTATATTTTTACATTTTTATAATCCTCTCAACGAGCTGATTTCAACGATGGATCACACTTGATGTCTAATCTGGATAATAAACATCTACAGCCACCTGAAAAATCACATTTTTTTTTTACTAAAAAGTCAGATGAGATTTCCAATTTCCAAAAATGTGATTTTTCATGTGGCTGTAGATCCTTTATTATCCAGATTAGACATCAAGTATGATACATCGTTGAAATCAGCTCATCGAGAGGATTATAAAAATGTAAATATATACAGGGTATCCCATTTAAAAAATTTATTATTTGTATCCCCTGAAATATGCACGCTACTGTACATTTGATAGCATTTTAACAAAAAACAGTTATAGCCACTCAACTTTTATTTGTGACTGTTTCTATAGGCAATAATTCATTTTTATTTCGGTTCGGTACGGTCCGGTCCATAAAAAATATTTTTAATATATTATCGGTTCGGTTCGGTTCCGGTCCATCTAAAACATTTCGGTTCCGGTCCGGTTTTCGGTTAATAACGGTTCGGTCCGGGTCCCTGATTTCTTGTATTTTCTGAAAGATACCCATTAGATATTTTGCTGAATATCCATTAGGATATCTTCTATATTCTGGATATAGACGGACATTTGGATATCCATATTAGATCCACGGAATATTTCTGATATCCTGGATATCTCTGGGATTTGGTGTGTTGTCTGGGTATATTCTGGCACCAATTTTAAGAGCATAAGTCCTGTTACGGCAGACGACGATTTAATCATCCCTTCTTCCAAAGGAAAGGCAGAACTGTTATTTGTCAAAATGTTTTATCCATCATAACAACAAGAAGTTGTTAACTACTATTCCACAAGATTTTTTTTTTGATGTATTAAACCCTCTTAAAAATCTCTTATAGCATTAAAAAAAAAATGTCCTTATCATGAGTAAGTCCTAATTTTTGTTATAACTTTATATTCGGTTTAATTTATTTATCCATTTGAATTCCTAGTTACAAAGCTGCCTAATGAATTTTACCTAAATTATTTTTATTAACGCTTTGTAATTAATACATAAGTACAATCGTGTACTTTTAAAATTCGTAATAAAAAAAAAACAAATCCAACCTATAACTTAATCAACACAAATAGATCAATAATGATTTTTAATCAAATTTAAAACTCTTTATTCTCCTTTCTTATTTACATGCCGTTCCTTTGTAAAATTACAATTTGTAATTATAAACAAACAAAAATGAATAAATAAATAAATATAAATCACAAATTTTAGATTTCAATCAAATATAAAATTTTGAATTTCCCTTCCTGGTTTCATTGTTTATCTTTCTTATACCTAAAGGTATGATATAATTTGTAGATGTAATAAACTTCTTGAAATTATAAATTATAACGGCAAACCGGCAACGTTGTGCAAAGACTTCACCAACAATCCTGCTTAATATGAGGGATTTTCTTACGTTGAAATATATTTAAAAATGAATTTGAAACATATATGTCAAAACGTCATCAATTTGAGATTACGCCAGAACGTACCGTTTAGTAAAAAGTCATGTCAAATCTATAATCACTTCTCAGTTTATTATTCTTCTATGGTTTGTTACTCCTCCTGTTATTTGTTTCTCTACTTCCCTTAAGTAATAGCAGCATACTTTGGATCTGTAACGGTAATTTATAATCACTCTTACAATATTTAATAACTATTTATTGTCAGAAGCTATATTAGTTATAATACCTACCTTTCAAACTTTCTAATGTTTCACTATCTACATCGATCTTATAACGGCCCAAATTTACTTGAAACATTCTCAATTCTCAATTTTAATTTTGGAAAAACAAAACAGAATGACAGATGTGACAGATTTATACATGGCGCTAACAATTATCCCCACTTTTACCATGAATAACATTTTAAA